AGGTGGTTAACCGCATTTCTCATAAATAGAATCTTTGCAGTGAAGGTAGGGTAGGCCGGTTCTCAGGTGAATCGATTGACCAGTGGAGTGCCTCAAGGTTCGGTTCTCTGGCAGTTACTCCTCCTTTTATTCATAAATGACACATTGGAGTTAACGAACTCACCTTGTTTTGTCTTCGCGGATGACGTGAATTTCGTAGGATTGAGTGGGAGGGCTAACCTAGTGAGGGATATTGAACGCGTAGTTGAGTGGTCAAAATGAGTGGGACTTGGTACTGAATGCAGCCAAGTGTCAATTATTGTCCAAGGGAAAGCATCCATTAGTAGCTGTCGGTACGTGGGAAGCTTTCAAAGATGAACCGGTAGAAACAGCTAAGGATCTTGGGGAGGTAATGAATTCGAATTTCAATTGGGGTGGCCAATGTGAAATCACAGTCCACAAGGCACGGGGATAACTTTTCTGGCTTAGGTCTATCTTATAAAAAACCGGAGATGTTTGTCCCGTTGTACAAGGCAATAATAAATCCTCTTCTAGAATACTGTGTCCAAGCATCTAGTCGCAAAAAAGACGCCGCTTGCCTGTAGAAAGTGCAGAGGCTAGCCGCATGAATGGTAGAGGAGCAGCGAGGTAAATCATATCTGGGAAGATTGAAAGACAGCGATCCTTTTTATCTAGAGAGATGGAGAATTAGAGAGGAGACCTGATGGAAGCGTTTAAAATCAAAAGGGGATTATCTGGGATTCCCCCAGAGGAATCCTTCACCAGTGCCCCTCATAATGGTACCAGGGGTCACTGATGAACAAAAGGAGTAGGTCAGGTGTGAGGTCCAACTATTTCAGCAATGGCATAGTAAACAGATGGAAAAGACTACCCGAGGAAATAGTCAACCTTCCTAGTGTTCACGCCTTCAAAATGGTTTTGGACAAGATGTGGCTGTACGTCAACCAATTCGCACTTGAGTGACCTGTAGCCAAACCGATACGAATCTCGAAGTAAAAACACAACTGATCCGCAATGTTCCACGGTACTGAATTAACGAAATCATTACAAAATGTACAATAAAGCACACCTCAAATATGCGGCCAAAAGCACTCAAACAAGCGAGCCAAATAAGATGTCCAGAGAGAGGCAAACAGTCGCTCCCGTTCTCAAACAACGCCAAATTCAAATGTGCCGGGCATCCAAATTAACATATAAATCATGATGTATGGTGTTCGTGATCAAGAAATGTCAATATAAGTGCAACACACAGATAAAGTTATTTCACCATAAATCATTACGGGTTCGGAAGGATATTCAAAAATTCAGCTTGAAATACAGTAGCTAGAGCTGTTCCCCGACGAGGAGTACTGAGTAGGATATGAAATGTAGGTTCATAACTTATTTTGTGCAATGTGGAACGCTTTCACATTAAACGTTTTTTGCTGACACGTCAATAAGTAAGGTTTCTTTTTTTCTCTTTTCTCAAACAGACGGAGATACTGATCATTTGAAGATGATGATCATCCCCAACCAGACTCTAAGGGCCACAGTGAACCTGAGGCGTACTAGTCCACGTCTGCAGACTTCTCAACAAGATAAACGAGATTGCCAACCTACTCCGTTCCATCAATCTGTATCCTCGCTGAACCTTGGTTTCAGGACTCTACTCCAATCGGACATTGGAGCAGTGCGTTTCAGTTTTACACAGCAGACAGAAGCGGAGCCCCTGGTGGGAGTGTCTAATGCTCATCATCAAAGAGATCCGTCAGTCCTCAGCCAAATTAACGGAAATCACGCTGTGTATTCAGACAATTACATGCGTATTTCATCTCAATCCGCCAGCTATAACAGTACGGACCTACAGCAGTCCAAGTGCCTCTAGCTAGAAGATTCACAACTTCTTCAAGCGCTAAGAAATATTTCTCTGGTAGGATACCGCCAAATGATTCTCGGTGACTTCAATACCTCAAAGATAAACTGGATAGACCTCACCGCCGGTAGGAATCATTTCGATAAACGGCTGCTGTATACCTCCTGATCACTGACCCTAACCCAACACGTGCTGATACCTACAAGAGTTAGATCGGGACAACAGCCATCTTCTCTGGATCTGATCCTTTCTGGAAATCACGCAGAGGTAACCGGGGTGTCCTTGGGAATACCTCTAAGAAGAAAAGACCACTTTAGGGTACATTTTCTCTTGAGACGAATAGCAACCCCACGACCTATGCTAAGATCCCAACGTTTCCACGCCATCAAGGTGGGAGAACTACTTGGAAGTGAAAAGGAAAATGGACTGGTCCAGCTTCGGTACCGTAAACGACAGATCAGCTCCTTTTTTAGAAACATATCTCTCCTAACAGAGAAGCACGTTCCACTGGGGGTAGGAAAACCGCGGAGCTACAAGCGGTGGTGAAAACTCAAGATCCGCAAAGCCATCGAAAGAAAACAGACAGCTTGGAACGCTTACATTAAGCTCAAAAGCTTTGCTTCATATAAGATACAAACTCCTGAAAAACGATGCAATGAACGATGCATATTTCCAGACAGGTTAGACAAGCGTGCGAACTTGTTATCGCAAGAGACGCCAAGCTGAACGTAACTTCAAATACGTACAACTAAGGTATTCTAAATGGAAAGGCAGTGTACTACGAGTATAAGACAACCTGCTCAACACGGATTAGCAAATTGTGAACGCCCTGCCCTCCTAATTCAGCGTTCACAGGTCCGATAGTAACCAAAATTCGCCCAACAACCATAAATATTAAAAGGCTGATTTTTTTCATCACCCCAGAGTATGTAGATAGAGCCTTGAACAACCTCAATCCAAAAAGTTCTTCGGGGTTCATTTTTCCATCATCAGGCAGTTTAGCTGTTTACTAAGCACCTAAATGGTTTCCTTATTCAATATGTCACTCTTCTTGAGAGTTACATTGTCAGACTGGAAAAGAGCAACTATTATTTCCATCTTTGAAGACAGAGATAGGTCCAACTAATCAAAATACAGACCTATCAGCCAATTCAGTATGTTAAACAAAGCTTTTCAGTGAGTTCTGTGACACTTGATATTCATCGCTCTATTCAACAAAATGGTGATGGTCGTAGTTGTAGTAGCAGTAAAAGTAATACGCACGGAACTTGGAACACAAACTATATGAATCACAGGACCCAAATCAAGAATCAGGTATCATGGACTGAATTACTGAAGAACTGAACCGCAATGGTACGAGCTCGCAATATCTCACGTGAACGAGAGGCGAGGAAACAGCCACATGACTGGCAACTAGTAGATCATTCATTGGAAGGAATAAAAGCGATTAAATAATATGTACAAAAAAAGATCATTGGTTATCTAGGGTTCCACTAATCATATTGCAGTATTGCTAGCGTAATTTTGCTTCTGTCTGCACTGTCTCGGATTGGCTGGCACGATCCACCAATGGCGTCTAGTCAGAAGCCGTGACGCGTACGCGCGTCACTGACGTCATCTTTCAAATTCGACTGATAGCAGGTGTCTAGAAACTGTAACGCGCCGCTCCATGGTAGGCGGCACAACGTAGGCCTGGGTCACCACAAAAGCTTCTTGAGTGATTCACAGCACGGATTCCTAAAGGAAAATTCTGCCCTTCAAATCTATTCACCTTCCTAGGCGTTACAATGCACAGATTGGATAAAGGCATCAAAGTCGAATTATGCTACTTTCCAAAATGCCTTCGACTCTGTGAACCACCGTCTACTGAGCTTCAATCTTAGAAAAGTGGGAATCTCCAAGGTCATATGTGACTGGCTAGAAGGCCTCCTCTCCAAATGCTCATTTACCGTCAAAGTCCGACAGGCTCACTAGGACACTAGATACCCTACAAGCGGAGTGCCCCAAAACGCATACTTGCGCCTCTACTCTTTCTCATCTTCGTGAATGATATCACTGAAGGCCTTGAAAATCCCCGTTTTCTTCATGTGTACGACGTCACATTAGCCATCTACACACCATCCAATCTGGAATCTACAAAATAGGTGAATGGTCAGACAAATGAGGTCTACAGCTCAGTGCAATGAAGAGCCACATGCTTTCAGCGGTCGATGGTCCATCAATCTTCGTCACAAACCCTCTTGGAATACCGGAAGCTCTACCGTCCAAGAACAGTACAACAGACCGCAGAGTGAAGCACGTCCAGAAACTCGCAACCAGAATGGTCTGGGGAATGAATATACGGCCAATGTTTCTTTCTGCGTCTGTGGATATCCTCTTTCTGCCGTGTTCAATAGACGGGAGATGCAGACAATCGGACGTCCGTCCTGTTCGAAAACGGCACCAATGCCAACATCGGATGCATCCGGAATCATAGTTGGATGCTTCATCGAAAAGAATGAGGCGAGTAATGTTTGGTCTGTTGTCATCTGAATGATTTCAAGCAGAATTCTTTCACACTCGGCAGTCCATTTCCATTCTGCAATGGACTGAGCAGCAAAAGTGGTTGAGCTGTCGCGGCGAAGTTTGGGACGAAACGCGAATAGTACTGGAGACATCCCATGATGGACCTGAGTTGGTGTTGGTCTCTCTGTGCTTCAAGCTCAATCAATTGCCGGAAGTTACTTTGATCAAGAGCATGTCCGGAAACTCGCAACCAGAATGATCTAGAGAATGAAAGAGCTGAGTTTCAAGGAAGGCTTTATCAATAAATCTTTTCTCCTTCGAACGATACAGGCTACGAGGAGACCTGGTAGAGATGATCAAAATCTCCAGGAACCTTAAAAATCCTCCAATTGGGTACGTGTTTCACCTTATAGAAGATAAAGATCTCCGTGGCACGCGGTACANTACACCCTGGAGCGGACGAGAAGCATACTGCAAATGAGGCATCACTTCTTCTCCGATAGAGTTCTGATTGCCTGGAATCAGCTTTTGACAACATTAGTGTTATTTCACTCGTTAAGTGCGAGTTAGAACTATTATGGAATTCTCTTTTGCCAGAACTATTCTAATGATGACTAGCCCTGACCTCCAAGAAACAGAGGCTGCGCCCTCCCTTTTCCCTCTCTCTACCAACTCAGCGCGGCCAGCTGGATAGCAGAGGCGATCTGAGTTAAGGCAAGTGTGCAGAGGCACCTGCACGCCTACCCCCAAAAATGACAACATTCGACACAGAAGNTCCTCGGAGTGCCAGAGAGCACTAGTCAATCACCTAGAGCTAGGGACAAACAAGATGAAACCTACACACTGATTTACTGCGCTACTTGGGCATACAACTTGATGTTATCAAGCACCACAGACTAAAATGTAGTGATGCTACTACTAAAACTGACGCATCCAGGACAATGAGACTATAGGCTGCGACTCCGAAGGGTGCATCGGAAATTCTCCTTCGCTCGCCCATGCTGCATTCTTCAGATTGGAGTCATAAGAATACGGCGTAACCTCCAGTAGAGCAAATGCTAGTGGAGGCGAAAGAATACAAGGCAGAACGACAACTCTGACTCTCGCTCGGCCATCATACGAGGCGTACCAGAAACTCAGAGACAAATCAGTCAATATCTGCACGACAGTAAACAATGGGATTACATTCTGGAAAAATCCAGTCTGTCCAACATATTAACTGGATGTGTGATAAAGTTACTTAAGCCCGCCCACCTCAGTAGATTGACTCCGCCTAGGTTCATCAAAGTAGTGCTTTTGATGAAGGCATGAAACAAAACTTTATACAGGGGTGGCGCAAAGCCAAACATCTCTTCGCCACCAAGATAATGTGCCACGAGAACCGACCACGAAAGGAGGGAGTGGCCATAAGGGCACTCCCTTTCATCAAAAGTGACATTCCGGCGTTAAACATATTTCCTATTCCAGACCCTGAAAGAAGCCGTGACCTCAGTCATCACTCCAAAGGAAATAAGTCAAAAAAGACTAGTATCCGGTCTTCTAGAGGCCGGATTCAGTCGGCCAGATAACAGAACTGTGAAACCAGCATTTACCTTCCAAACAGAGTCAACAACCCGCCTTTATACCAACGCACGGAGCCTCGTGAATAAAATACCAGAGTTACAAATCTTGGCGTCGGTCAGCAATCCTGGTATCATGAGTATCAGTGAAACATGATTACACGAAGGGATACAGGACGCAGAAATATCTCTCCCTGGAATGCACAGCTACAAGAAGGACGTCACCAGCTCTAGGGGAGGAGGTATCCTTCACGTTGACCGTTATTTGCACCACGAGCAGGTGACTGATCCACCAATGAACGGTTGCGCGGAATCAGTGTGGGTGTCTTTTAAACCCGAAGGTTGCACAGCAACTTCGGTAGGAGTAGTCTACAGACAGCCGAACTCAACCGCCCCAAAAGACGCCAGCATATTGTTGTCTATCAATAGAGCTGTAGAACCAGGGCATACGAACAAACTGATTATGGGAGATTTCAATCNAAGGTCACCGGTCCAGCAAAGTCTATGCCGACCCGCTTTCTAGAGCTATGTACTGAACTAGGACTAGTGGAGCACGTGCAACGATCAACCAGGTGGAATTTCGAAGAAGTTCTTACTAACGACCCGCTGCTAGTGGACGATATAGAGATACTGAATCTACTGGGAAAAGGTGACCATGCCGCGATTATTTTCAAAGTCTTAGTGCGTACGACTAGAAAGATAAACCAGTTACTTGCAGGGCAGAAGTTCTATAGGGTAGATTATGAAGAATTTAACAGAGCTTAGGCAACACTTCCCTGGATGGATCAATCAGATGAGGCATTGGTTGATGACTTATGGCGCAGAATCCTGAACAGTCTACAAATGGCAATCCACAACCTAGTCCCTCCGCGCAAAGTCAAACCCAAAAATGGCTTAGGAGCAGGACTAAGAAGCTGATCAGCTTAAAGCAATCATCATGGAATAGATACTAGTTTACTCAAACGCCTGAAGACCTCGAGTCCCACAAGACGCTCAGAAACCGCTGCATCAGGGTCCTCACAAAACTGCTTACGGCATCCATGAACACAGAAAAACTCCCATGTGATTGGATAGCCAACATTCTAACTTCTATATACAAATCAGTATTTTGCAAAAAACCCAAAAACTATCGTCCGGTAGCCCTTCTTTCCATACTTTCAAAGTAATGGAATACAAAATAGACGATTGAATAAAAGAATTCCTCAGACTTTCTAACTTCCTCAATCCACAGCAGCACAGATTCCGCAAAGGCCGGTCATGCTTACCAAACCTCCTAGCAACGACAGACGATTGGACTGAAGAAGCAGACATAGGGAATAGCGTGGATGTTATATGCCTAGACTTCTCCAAGGCCTTCAACAAGGTACCGCATCGAACATTACGCGACAAACTCATCGATCGTGCCATGAAGGGAAGGTTCCTAAGCCGGTTGAAAGACTACTTAAGTAATTGTAGGTAACACGTGAGGGTCAACACGATGTTTTGAGACCACCACTTGGTCCTAAGTGAAGTATCACAGGAATCTATACAAGGTCCCTTGCTCTTCATACTGTTTATCAACGACTTAGTGAGGCTATTAACAACTAAGCGTCACCTTCACGCGGATGACGTCAAGATCTGGCGCAGTATCAGAAACGAGGAGGACAAAGTAGTCCTCCAAAGCAACCAGATGCGATCAGACGATGGAGAATCGAAAATGGCCTCCCATTGAACCAGTCAAAATACCATGAAGTACACGTCAGGAGAGAAACGAACAGCGGATACTACCTTAACTCGGTGCCACCGATAGTAGTTACACAGTAAACAGATCTAAGGTCGGTTCTGTCGGACCGTTCAAACTTCTCACAAAACTGCGCTAGGCTAGTGAAACGAAGTAGTCTACTGCATAGCCTAATAGACCGGAACCTGGGAAAACTGGAGCTCAAGTGCTTCAGAATGTTAAATAGAATTTACGTTAGACCCCACCCACTTTGGATGCAATATTTATGCGTGCTCCCCAACCTTAGTAGGAAACATTATAGCACTGGAAGCGGTTCAGAGAAGAGCCACCAAGCGAGTCATCGAGCTATCGCAGTTAAGCTACGAAGAGAGACTTGAGCGATTCAACCACTCCACCCTTTCCTACAGGAGGCTGAGAGGGGAATTAATATTAATACACATAATAGTATCAACGTGGAATGATTCTGCGCTACACCAGGCGTACACCATTGAAATCATTTATTTTTGAAGTTACTGTGAGATACTGCTTCAACCCCTGTGAATTTTTGTATTTCTCTTCACGGATTTATATACATTCATATACATGGTTTACTTTGTGAAAAAGACAATTGTTTGGTGTGCAAACGAGTTGTTGTTCCGCATATCAAGAGTGTGCAGTGTGAGGGCTACAATGGGTGGCTCCATCTCTCATGTGCTAACATAACTATAATGGAATATCGTATTCTGGAGTTGTGTAAATCGAAGATTTGAAAATTGTGTGCACAAAATATTCAGTTCTGACGAGATCTCAAGGTGCGACGTCAGTATGTGTTTCATCTCCGACATCTCTGTCAGACCTGGAAGTCACCGTAATCCAAATCAGGTCAGGTATTTCTCCTATGCCGGTTGCCTCAACCCCGATTGGCTCTGATTCAATGGGTACACCACGTCGGAAAGGACGGAAGAAAGATGGACAGAATGCTCCTGTGTTGATTGTCCGGGACGACTGGTGCTTGACCGCTGTTCCACCACCGACGATTAGCACCACAGTCCAGNCACCAAAAGACGGATAAACGCCTGCAGGGTCCCTGTCGCGCGCCACATCAGAGATCTCGGGGAGGTGAATGAACCTGGAGAGTGCCACCAACCGAAATGTCCCTCAGCGTAACTAGTGCTTTCTAGCACTGAAACTCCCGAGGCCCCAGCGGAGTCTAGTCAGACGAGACTAAACCACGACTTGTGCCAGTTGCGGTCTATATTTGAAAAAGTATTTGGGAGCGAAGAAACCGTAGCCAATGACACTAAGGTTAGGACAGCATTTTGCCCGAGTAAGATCAAGGAGAATGGCCTGCCCCGTCCTCTGAAAGTGATTTTCGGTGCCAAACCCAGGA